TTTTTTTTTTGATTGCGAATACATACATTTTTTTTGGTTTTCGCTTGTACCTCGTCTCATACCAGAACAAATATTCTCCTCCTCCGAAGGATGAAGGAATTTATATGCCCTCGATAAAAAAGTGGCCGCAGCAAACGAATTTACACACACACATACATATATACACGCATATGCGGAGAGAGAAAAAGAAACTCTCGACTTCAAGGATGCTTAAGGATTCTTGAGGTAACTGCTGGTACTCATGAAACGCGCCGTTCTGCGTCTGCCATTGGCATTGAACGGTGCCGATGGAATCTGATTTCGTTTCGAAAAGTACACGCAATTTCCTGTTCGATTGCAATTCGGGTAAAAACAAAAGGATGGAACCTTTTTCCGTGTCGAGATTTACATTACTTTCACTGTCAGTTTGGTTTTCATTTCTTTTTGTTTATAAATCAATATTTTCTGAAAATGTGATTGCTTCGAGATTTATCTTAGTAACAAATATTCAAATTTAAAACGTCGACATTTGAAAACTTCTTCACTTCATCCAACAGTTTTCATTTCACTTTTCGTTTAGTTTTTATTCCCTGTTTTCAAATCACCATTTTGAAAACTTCAATTTGGTTGTTTGCTATAACAACAAATAATCAAATTTTAAAAGGTTATCCTGATAACTGTCGCTTTTTCAATTTGTCCAATTACATCTTCATTTCTTCCACTATTTTATCAATTGTTGCTGAAACAATTTCGTAACTACCACTTTTTTTCACTTTGTTTACATAACACCAAAATTTGACAACTGCATATTGTTTTCGGTTGCTATAGCAACAAACTATCAAATCGTTTGGTAACTATGACATTGTTGTCTGTTTCCAAGCGAGATGCGTTTCTCACAGGTCCACGTTAATCTGTTGGACTGTAATAAAAGGTGTCTGCGCTTGAGGTTAATTACAAAAAAAAATATGGATATGAAATGCAATTACGAAAACGTCTCGGTACCTTCTCCATACAGATTTCTCATTATTGTTCAATCCCGCGCGCCGCGCTAAACGTTCCCATTCCATTAAAAAGCCTCCTATTTCGCTGCAGCAGCAGAAGGATTTAATTGCAAATTGTGCGATTACGCGCAATTAAAAGCGCTTCTTGGCAATTAGCGAATTTCAATTACAAAAAATAAAATTAATCATCTTTTCGAAAAGCCACCTTTTTTCATCAATTTTCTTGAACAATTTTTGTGTGAGTGTGTGTGAAAACCGGGTGAAGAGTTCTTTCTTCTAATCCAATTAGAGGAGGTAGAGATGAAGAGAGGGAGAGAGAGAGAGGCACGCCCCGCTGGCAAGGATCCTCTTGAAGGGGGGTGTCCTTGACCCGTCCCAAGAAGCAGGGCCTCGACTCTGCCTCTCTTCCCTCTCGGCTTTATCTCACCACTTTTCCATCGGCCTCACGAAATTCTCGAGTCCTTTCTCAACCATCAACCATCGCATACCAATTTATTTTTTCTTCCTCTCCTCCATCATCTTCTTCTTTAAAAAACCCAGCCTTTCTCTAAGATCTCTAGATGGACCGAAAGATTCCAACAAGAAATCCACCCTTAAAACCGTTTCACAAAACTTCTTCTATCCTAAGAAACTCATAACCTAGGTCAATATCCAATTGCTCGATGGAGAGAAAATATGCTTCTTTGGAAATCTATTTGGATGCAGATACTAGTTTTCAGTGCAGGCCCGTATCTGTTTTTTTTTCTCTTCTTCTCCTTCATTTGTATCTTTCTGTCTTGCGTTCCATCTACTCTTCTTTTAGTTATTTTTTTTGTTGTTCTTCGGTCTTGTATCTCTCTGTATGTACCTATTATGTACGTATATATATTATGTATGTATCTATGTATGTATGTAGAGAGGAGTTAAGTTAATACGTCGTCGGAGAGGCGAGTATATATACGGAGACCGGTTTCCTACCTTTGTCAGACTTTGGCCTCGACTGCCGCGACGATTATACTGTATAATAATTACCTCTACACATAGGACTATCTGCATGTAGTTCATTTTTATAGTTCGCCAATACCTTCTTTTCTTTCCACCTGCACGGCAAATATTTGTCTAGTTCATTGCCAACGTGTCTCAATTGCTACTTTTCGTCGTTTTTACCCCATCCACCTCAAACTTCTCTGACACGACTTTACGCAAATATTACGTTTCGTGCACACACTCAGACACGTTCTTTAGACTGTAAATCACTCATCAATCCATCTTTTCATCTGCTTGATAATTGCATCCCGCATATCCTTCCATCACACAATAATCTAATTAGAAATCTACGATAGTTTCAAAGTATTTCTCATTGATCTCACCGAATAACCTGAAATTATAGATAAAGTAATTACATTTACATAATTATATTACTTCTTCAAATTTGATCTTAATCAGTCAATTTTATATCTGAAAACCGTTATGTATATTTCTTCCAAAAAGTAGTGTCTCCACATGTATTACATAAAAACTGAATGTTACGATGAAATTTGAATATGAAAATTAAAGCTAATAATGTTTATATAATTATGATATTTGTAGATTTCTTAAATTAATGAAATTTTAGCTTCAAAAAAGTTGTCTTTACATTTTTATATATTACGTTAAAACTGTAAACGTTATGATGAAGTTTTAAAATGAAAATGAAAGCTAAATCTATGGGAAATAATGTTTGTATAATGATAGAATCATGATATTTGTAGATTTCTTAAATTAATGAAATTTTAGCTTCAAAAAAGTTGTCTTTACATTTTTATGTATTACGTAAAAACTGTAAAGGTTACAATGAAGTTTTAACATGAAAATGAAAGCTAAATCTATGAGAAATAATGTTCGTATAATGATGGAATCATGTAGATATTTGTAGATTTCTTGTAATTCACGATCAAATTTGAATTAATGATTTTACATTTTTGTCAATAAATTAAAAAATATGAACGTTACGATGAAAATTAATGAATATAACGAAAATTGATGAACGTGAAGACTTTTTTTAATTCAGTTGTGTCGCACATTGCGAAATGATTAATTGCCATATAAATTTGATGTGTATCTTGTATGTGTTATCACCACATGGAAAATTGGATCTGAGAAGGAATGAAAAAAATAAAATAACGAAAGTACACGTTGCATTAATGGTGAGGAAAAAAAGAAGTGCATTTTAAAAGGAAACCATTTAGAAGTTAGCCGTTTCCATTTACAATTTTCTTTGCTAGTTCATTCCTTATTTCTTTCCTTCAATTTCGCTTTATTTTTTTTTATATATATCTATTTAACATTTGTATTTCTTGTTACCTCTCTTCCATTTCCTTCGAAAGGTGGAGAGAGAGCTGTTGGCAGACGGCAGTTAGAATTTATTTCGCGTTTCGCGTTTGAAAATGTGCCGTTAAATGCGGAGAGGACTCCGGGGAGGAGAAGGAAAAAAAAAATAAATAAATAGGAGACATAAATAAAAAGAGAGATGATTCGAAGAAATGCGAGTTAGAATGAGCGAGAACGTCTTTGGTGAGGGGCAATAAAGGGAATTTTAATGAGTGACTTTTCCGATCGTCGACTCCGCCGCGGCCCGCGACTCGCTCATATATATATATAAAATAAAAGCTACCGAGAAACAATCGATAATTCTCTTATATAGCTTTAAGGATACTTAAACTTGAAATGACAAAGACTTAAAATGTCTAGGCAAGTTTTTATCGACGCAAGATCATGAGCACTCACACACGGGATGATCGTACTAGGAATACGCACATTCCTCAACATCTTGCAGACAGACTCGACTCCGGCCCCAGCAACAGATTCTCAACATTTTCAAACTCGGCATTATAAAACGACCAGAGAGAAGCCAACGCTAAGAGGAGGAGAACAAGAATAAGAAGAAGAAGAAGTCGAAGACTACGAAGAGGTAGCGCAGGGAATAAGAAGAACCACAACCAGAAGAAGAATAAGAAGACGAAGAAGTGGAGGAGGAGGACCTCCATCTGAATACTAAATCATTATCTGTAATATTTATCAAACCTCGCTCTAAATGCATTTTAAACATTTCATCCCGTTCCGATCCTCAAACTCAGCTCACCTCAACTCTCGCGTTTCGCGGATCAATCTTCTTTATCTTTTTCTTATGTCTCTTTTTTTTTTCTTCCCGCCGCCGCCGCCGAAGACTCCAAATGTGTCTTCGCTTCTTTCTCAATTTTCGCATGGCAACCGGCTCCTCTCTCGACTCGCTACTTTCATGCTCGGATCCGCCGTATGTAATTCGCTTTAATTTCACCAGTGGCGGAACATCGCCGCCTTTATTATTTCCAAACAAATATAAATCCTGCAACAAATAAAAGACAAAAAAAAAACGTTAAACGAATTCAATATTTTTTTTTAATCTAAGAGATTCGTCATGTAACAATTCAATAAGAACGTA